AATACCTATAAATTATGCCACAGTTTATCATTTAGGTATAGGCTAGCCATATCTCTAAAATATTGAACTAAATCGAATGCTTTCCAAAATCCTTTGCAAACTTCATAAATAATATTTCCTCCGATAAAATACTCGTTGAAAAGCCTACGGATGTTAAGATAAGCTTCAATAAGTTTCCGGAATATATTCAAAACCAGTGCTTCAGAGTTGCGCCTCGCCGGCGTGTTCTTTCTATCGGTAAGTACCTACTGCATCTAATGGAAAATCCATTTATGTGGTCCGTAGCTCCCGGATGCACTGCCGCTACCCTAATAAGATCTCTTATACCACTCACCAAGGTAACAGAGTCCATACAGACTGCCAACCAACAAACTGAACTGTTCTACTCCACAGTTCATCAAATGCTTCGTGTATTACTTTGCAAAACCATATTTCTAATTTACGTTTGAAGAAATATTTATTTTCTTTTTATTAGATGAAGATTTATTCAAATCATTCCGAGACAGAATCACCAGACCGATAAATTCACAAATGAATTTGACATTAAAAATAAATTTTCTTTTAGAAGTTTGTGAGAGTGATCGCCGTGTCACTGAATGTTGAAGTAATACATACAGTTCGCAATCAATAGCCCCTAATATTTATAGAGGAGCCAAAAATGAAAATCGTGTCTCATTACGAAGTATACTTTTTGGATTTAATCAACATTCAGACGTATGGCTATTTATGTACGTTTAATGAAGATAAAGTGGAACTCTTTTACTGAGAACAAATAACAAAAGACTTCATCAAGATAACAATATCAGTCTTTGTAAAAAACATAACTCAAAGAGCAAAGGCACGTTACCGAAATGGAGAGAACCGCGGTCAAAGAATTACTCTACATATTTTGAATTCTAAACAATCAAAGTGAAAAATGACAGCAATATAATGTTCGACAACAAACGGTTTTACAACAAAGGCGCGCTACAAAGTCATCTACCGCCAGATCAACCCTTTGATATTTGATGCGGACGCATTTTTCATCTGTCCATGACAGACCGGAGATATGAGGGCCGCAGCCTGTATTAATCACTGGCACTAATCTGAAATAGACCATGGCAGAATGCCGACGCAAAATCCGATTTTCCATTAAACCTTTCTTGGACTGAGCGGAGCTAATAAGCATTCAAGCGGCCTTCATTAAGCCGCGCCAGAGGGAGAACCTATTGATTTTATTCAGCTCTAATAAAGGTAATTCTCCGCAAAACGACGTTCAGTCAGGTCTCAAAAGAAGCTTAAATATAGGTACTCTTTGTCGAGGCGCAGACCGGCTACCTTAGATGTAGTTTAACATTACAGTCTTTGCAGCTTTCACGGATGCGACGTTGGTCAATTTAAACTAAGCAATAATTAACTACCGAAGTTACTATAATAAAGATTATGCGAAACTTCATTTTACTTTAAATTAGTAACTAAACAATATTTTACTTGGATACGACAACTTTTGGAATAGTCATGACATATTTATCCATGCATACATTGGCAAATTAAATCTGTATGTAAAGTGAGCTGTAGCGTGCTGTGCTTGTGTCATCCGCTTCAGGTATTGCCTCCGCTTTGCACTATTTGTTCCCCGATAAATTAAATGTGAGTGCGAATCGCGTCACTATAGTAACGGGATTTACCCTGAATGTTTGTTGTTTTTGGTAAAAATTGCAAATAGAGACTACTGTTTCGTGGACATGTAAAGCAAAAAAAAGCGACGATGTAGATTCGATTAAACCATTAATATGATTATTATCTTCTTAAATATGAATTGATATGATCTATTTCAGAGAAAATATTCTCGATCGCAATAAATATTTTAAGAAAATCATGTAAAACCAAGTCGTAATTACTAGTGTATGAAGAAGGACGAATTATCGACGGGTGCCGTAATCAAACCCGTCATTCGGGTTGCCGCTCCGTCTATAGGCGAAGTTGTAATACAATATCACTTCGCCCTCGTATCTTTACTATGCCGACTGGTAGGTATTCTGACATGACAATAGCTCAATGATATAAAAGATAAGAGAAAGTTAATATGTAACGTTTGATTGCTACACGGCGACGTCTAACAACTTTGAATACAATGCTTCAAACGAACTTTGAATATCATATCTTAAATCACGATTCAAACTTCTGGTAACTTGATTAAAAGATTGAATGGGTCGTTGAAATAAAACATTTTCGTTTCAAAAGAAATGTGCCTATTTAAATTTGCCTTCAAAAATGTCATTGAAAAAGATTCATCGTTTGTAAGCCTGAAGTGACCCTGTCCTCTTTGTAAAGAATGTTTACGTCCCCGAAATCGGAAAGTGCGAAGAAAAGATCCTTCAATGGAACTAGACGACTGGGAATTAAACAAATTCAAACTCTATTTACATCCAAGATCCGTCTTATTGGCTCCATTGAGATCCAGCAGTATGCACAGACTGCCAATTTATAGAAACTTAAAAAAAATGTTGAACCAGAGTTGTAAAGAAATTCTTTTTTCTCTCGTCTGTGAATTGTTTCTGTGACTTCATTCGGAAACAAATAAAGGACTTGGAAATTAGGTAAGTTGTACCTCTACATACTTGAGCGAAGTTGGCCATAGTGTATTACAGCGTTTGGCAGTCAGGAATGGTGGAGTCACGTTCCCCCGCGCTGGCGCCATCTAACGTGCACGTCCCACGCTCATCGGCAAATGGCGCGAAAAATTATACACTTTGCATTCACTACGAGGCTAGCATTTTTTTTTTTTTTTTTTTTTAAGGGGGGAAAATCATCGAATGACTACTCCCGCCTGGGTGAGGCGGAAGGGAGTGTCAGACTCTTACTGACTAAAAACCACCCCGTTCCTTCTCCTGCACGTCGAGCCGGAGCCCCGGTTACCCGTTAGGTTCTCCGCGACTCCGAATCGGCATCGGCCCTATTGGGCCCCATCTGTGGTGGTCTGATGGCTCTTTGAGGCGCGCGCGGAACGCGACGCGCCGTACGCTCGGGTCTGTTTCTGGTCGGACGGGGAGCCACCCATGCTCGCCGTCCGCAGGCCCGCGCTTACGGTGGCCGGAGATCGTCCCGCGATCCCCGACGCCCGGTGTGTCCTTCGCGATGGCTGGGTTGCGAGGAGGCAGCGCTTCGCTGCCTCGCGCGTCCCGCCTCCTCCTTAGCCAGCATGACTGCTTCGCAAAAGGAGGAGACGGCATCCCAGTCCCCCTCGCTCCGCATCATGGCCTGAACTAGGCCCGGACGCGAGAGGTCTCCATCGCCGATCACTTCCCTGAGGGCACGGCGGTGCTCAGCCCACGCAGGGCATTCCGCAACAGTGTGTTCCACCGTGTCCTCAGGGTGGTCCTCGCAGTGATGACACCCGGGCGTTTCCTCCCGCCCCATCAGACACAGGTACCTCCCGAAACTTCCATGTCCGGTGAGGACCTGCGTCAGGCGGTAGGTGAGGACGCCGTAGCGTCTCTCAAGCCACTCCTCAAAGAGGGGACTTACCGCTGCAATGGCAGCGAGCCCACGAGGCTAGCATACGAGTGCATTACATTTGCCAATATTTTTAGACAACTTTCATATTATTTAAATAAATGGCACACCTACTTTCTATATTATTCTAGTTTTATTTGCTACTACTTGGCACTTTCGTGGTGAAAATCGCAGTTGTCTTCACATTTAAACGATCTTAAAGTTACATAGGTAGGTACTTATTAGGTATCTGACTATATGCATTTTATTCAAACTGTTTAAATGTTCATATCCAACGCGCACAGAATGTAAATAGAACTGTGTGAAATCAGCATGTATATACGTTTATTTTAATAGATTTAATACTAGAACCAAAGTTAAAATCAAAGTAAATCATCGAATTAAGTTTAAATACGTAGAACTTTGCGTAATGAGAATAGAACAACAGGATAAACTTATTAAACCATTGTAACATGTGCTGTTTAACTAGCATAGTTCCAATAAATCCCCAGCCCGTTCCGATTCGGTCGGCGGGCGCTAATCTAAGCTAACTTGTGAATCCTAGACGCGTGTAAATCCTTGGAAAGTCCCGGGAGAAGTTGGCTTAGGAAATATATTGCACTTGATTTTCCAATTACGTCGGCGTTGAGACTCATATTTCCGTCTACTACAGTGATAAATTGCAGCATAAAATATTAGACATTAATCTTAGTAAATTGTACACGTCTCGAAATTAATTTGTGTTGTATTAATACTTTTTTTAATTAAATTTAGTTTTGTTTTGGTATCTAACTTTAAGCAAAAAATTTTGTTATTCGTAAAAGAAAATAAGACCCGTGCGGTCCGATTTTATTTTTACTCCAAACATAAAATAAACAACGTAAGTACCTATAAAATTAAACGAAAATTTAATTAATATAAACTTAAAGTAATTTATTAGTCCAATGTATTTATAGATGGAAATTTACATTTTTACATTAATACTTTCGCTTCCATTAAAAAGCCGTCAATCATGATGATTTATCAGGAGTCTATCACTCCGAAAATTTTAATTAAAAATCCCACAGAGGCTTTTGTTTCAACAATAATAAAATTTCGTATAAATGTTCACTAGGTACTTAACACTGCGATGTAGACAACTCCCTACAAATAAATCTACATATGTAGCTATACTTATATGTACTTGTCAATCCAATGAATTTATAGGTGAACTCATCTAATTCTGTGACTCGCCTAATAATTCGGTTTAGTAAATTTGGTAGAACTCTTAGGTTTCTAGAAAAAAATCTGATTATTTGTGCTAATATTCGTCATAAAAGGCTGATTAAAACTCATGCGGAGACTGAATTAAATTAATTAATAATTTATTGGTATTTTATTACTCAAATGCCTTTGTCACGAAGTTAGATGAGTTCACCCTAATGAGTGACTCGCCACAATTTCTTTGTTATCTATTAGACCCTTATGATAAATAAGAGGCAAAATTTTTTTAGTTTCAGTTTTGTTAATAGTGTTGTATTTGTTGCAGGGTTGTCACTGTCACCGTTCGTGCGGTACTGGCAACCGGCGGCATACGCGCATGTGGGCGGACATCGGCTCCGGCGCGCCGCACTGCCGCCGCCCGAGCCCCCGCCACCACCTTTGCGACTCTCCTTCCACGCTCACAACAGGTAAGAGAAAGGATTCATGGTGAAAGTGTGTTTTCCTCTTCTGCAGCCCCAATACCCAATCCCTAAAGTCGACAGTGCGCCTGTAACCCTTCTAGTGTTGCGGGTGTCCAGTGTCCATGAGCGGCGCCAATGGGCCTTACCGTATTTTTGTGTGTGCCAGTGTCACATCATTGGACGTTCAATATTTGACAGCTAATGTGATTGGAAAAAAATCCTTCTTACGCGCCATCTTGTGAGCAATAGAACATTAGTCCCCATTGCTTACTACTATCAGAAATAAAAAATATACCGTTTCTAAAGAGACAACCCTGTTGAAAATTTCTGAAAATAACTGCTACGCAATTAAGTTGTTTACAATATTATATGTACTTAGTTTCTAGGCTATTTAAGTGTTGCCATTTTTTTTCTGTTAACCTTGTCTACTGATTTATAATTTTATACATAGATACCTAAATAAACTGACTGCCTTGTTGGCCGAGTGGTCGCAAGTGCGACAGTCAGGTATGGGGTCTCGGGTTCGATTCCCGGGTCAGGCAAAGTATTACTGGGTTCTTAAAAATCTCTGTAGTAGCACGGAGTCTGGAAATGTGCCCGGTATCGGCTCACCCCCACTGTTACATGGGACTCATAACATAAATAGTGAAAAGTGGGTATTACATTGTACAGTGGCATTAAGTGCCGAAATGTACACCTCTGCCTACCCCTTCGGGGATAAAAAGGCGTGATGTTATGTATGTATGTTATGTATACCTAAATAAAAACAGGACATTAGCCCATAGTACGTAGCTAGGTAATACAACAACTACAACATGGAATTACAGTCCTTTCTAATATATTTTGCGTGCAATAGAAGTGCGGAACTAGAAAAGTTAAGCGTAACAAATTGTACATCACGATAATGATTAACCAGTCGAGTAGTATGTGACTAGGCTGAATGACTAACGACTCATGACATGACGGTTAAGCTAAGTGATTTCCTTGACATTATCGATTACTCCTTTTGAATTTGATTGTATCTTCAAAATCAACAAAAAGCTTTTGGCATAGGATATTCCAAAGCCAGTTTCTTAACTAACTAATATGATATTATTAGTTAGTTAAGACACAGATAAATAATAAGATAAATAATCTGTGTAACACATTATAACACAGATAAATAATATTGTAATTTCTGTCGGTAATTTTTTAAAGTCAAAGTCAAAGCGTTTATTTCAATTAAACCATAATTTGGTACTTTTGAAACGTCAATAAATACAAAATAAATAATAGTCTGTCAGTCAGTCCGTCAGTGAAGCTAGGTGCTCATTCCTAAATGTAGATTCGAATGGAGAAAAACGAGCAAGAAACTCCATTCGTTACTCTTTTAAAAAAAGTATGTTCTACAATGTCCCTGATACATATTCCAATACTGTACGTATATGTGAGAACAATGCAAAGACACGCTTGACGCATTATAGGTACTAATTACAAACCTTACTAAAAAATTAAAAAAAAATCTTATAGTCTAACACGGTGCTCACATACGCATACTGACAATCCATAAAAATAGTGCTTCTATACAAGAAAAAGGAAACTCTTTGTTTCAATAAAGAAAGAAATGCTCGATGCCATAAGGAAACTTAATATTGAAATAACCGCTTTTACCAAAACATTTATTTTTATTTTTTGTAAGTCTGTCTGTCTGTTTGTACAGGCTTATCTTTGAAATAGCTGGACCTATTTTAACGGGACTTTTCATCATCAACAGCCTGTTTTCGTCCACTGCTGGACATAAGCCTCTCCAATGGCACGCCACTGAGCTCGATCTTCAGCTCTACGCATCCAACCACTACCAGCCACATTATGTATATCGTCACTCCACCTAGCTGGAGGGCGCCCTACACTACGTTTGCCTAGACGCGGTCTCCACTCTAGAACACGTCTACTCCAGCGGTCATCGGTTCTTCGACAAATGTGACCGGCCCACTGCCACTTCAGCTTGCTAATCCTTTGGGCTACATCGGTAACTTTAGTTCTCTGTCTGTCCGAATATTTAGACGAATATTTAGAGACGGGACTTTTACTGGCAGGTAACTAATGTAGGTACGAAGGAGTAACATAGGCTACTTTTATTTTAGAAATAAGAAACAAAAAACGAATGTCCTAAAATGTATATTCTATGCAGACGAAGTCGCGGGCAACAGCTAGTATAACATATTATAGGCGTCTATGAGCAGAGATGAACTTAAGTCAGATCACTTTCTTACTTTTACACTCTCATAGCTTTCAAGCACAAAGTTGAATTTCATACTATTACTGAGAGAATCCCAATAATATTTGTTCAATTAATTTATATTGGCACGAAGTTAATTACTTATAATAAGTTGTGGTGCCTTTATTAACGATTCGGTGTAGACGAACAACCCACACACCCGTAACTTTCAGTAAATTATTTCTATATTGTCATCAATTAACTATTTATAGTTACAATATTAATTTATACTAAAATGTTTAATAGAACTAGACTGCCTCGTTGGCCAAATGGTCGCAAGTGCGACTGCTAGGCAAGGGGTCTCGGGTTCGATTCCCAGGCAAAGTATTACTGGGTTTTCAAAAAATTCTCAGTAGTAGCACGGAGTCTGGAATTGTGCCCGGAATATGGTAATAGGCTCACCCCCTATTACATGGGACTCATAAAATAAATAGTGAAAAGTGGGTGTTACATTTTAAAGTGACATTGCGTGCCGTAATGTGCACCTCTGCCATACGCCTTCGGGGATAAAAGGCGTGATGATATATTATGTTATGTTTAATAGAAATCCGTTAAACCTTTATAAAAATACTTGTCTAAGCATCTAGGTACTTAGAAAACTTTAAATAGCTTACTAAAGTAAAATTTCATAGCTTTTGTAGTGAGATAAAAAATATAAGCTGAAGTTTACTAAAGTTTAAGAGTTTGGCACTCGGCAAACTGCGCCTAATTTCGTTCCTACGTTAAAAATTACCAAAGTCCTGGGTCGTACAGCTCAACTTAAACTTTTAGCTTATAATAAGTAGGTTAGTGCCTAATTTGTTTCACTTGAAAAAATGGACAGGTTTTATTAATATAATAAAACAAGCAGGTTTTGCCTACGTATTTTTTTTATGGCATAAGCCGGTCAACGAGCAGAGGGATCACCTGATGGTAAGCAATCTGCGTCGCCCATGGACACCTGGAACACCAGAGGCGTTACAAGTGCGTTACCGGCATTTTGGGGATTAGGAGTTTGAGGATCGTTGGGAATTCAGGGATTTGGGAGATTGGGAAGGGGAGGGTAATTGGGCCCCCGGTAACCTCACTCACACGACGAAACACAAAACAAGCTTTGCTTCACGTCGATTTTCTGTGACGCCGTGGTATCACTCCGGGCGAGTCGGCCCATTCGTGCCCAAGCATGGCTCTCCCACACTTAAATTACAATTGTACAGATTTATACTACTGTTACTTACTTACTGCCTGTACTTTTTTAATCCCAGAATGCAATCAAAAATATATCAATTCGCAGTTTTATGCAATCAGCGGAATTTAATTTCAGATACCTGTGATTTACCTTTACAATCCATTCCAGACCAATAACCAAAATACAAAAACCACTCAAGTAAAATAAAAAGTAATAAAAAAAAAGTTAAACTTTTTTAACGAAATCATACTCTATATACATATGTATTTTTTTTTAAGGGGGGAAAATCATCGAATGACTGCTCCCACCTGGGTGAGGCGAGAGGGAGTGTCAGACTCTTACTGACTAAAAACCACCCCGTTCCTTCTCCTGCACGTCGAGCCGGAGCCCCGGTTACCCGTTAGGTTCTCCGCGACATATACATATGTATAGATGCTATAGAATGTCTTAATTAGATTGTAAAGGCTAATGCAGACAACTTATCACATAGCCGATGTTAATTATTAATAGATCGTCTTGTATATGTCGTGTTCAAAGCGGATGGCCATTGTACATGAGTAATGGCAGCTCAGATCCAATTAAATGAGCATTAAGACGTGCCGTTGTACATATCTAACTATGTATCATGTACATAGATACAGGGATACCTCAAATGAGTTAAATATTGAAAGTTTGATTTTGAAGACTAGAAAAGGGATGTCAATGAATGGAATAATTAAGAGCATAGGTAGAAATGAGTTACTCGTCAGAAGTATTTTAAGAGTATCTATTAGTTATTCGACTCTGAGTTTAAAGAGTGATCAATTCATTACAATACGCCTAATTTCTGATGTAAGTAGAAAGATTAGATAGCCGAGACCGAGCTAATAACATAACTGGCATTTTATCGTTTTTTATTACGTTAAATATTTAAAAATGCTTAGGTAGTTACTAAACGACTTTAAATCGGTGCTTCTACAAAAAACACTGATTGACGGGTCTAATCAATTTGTAATCAACACCCAATGTCAATACCAATACATTTCTATTTGAAGTGCAATAGCTTCTTTAATTAAAATACGAGGACATTGAACCTGAAAGGTGACAGTAGCTACGATCTCACAATTACTAGGTACTCACGTAATACACACGTAAACTAAGCGCTTTAGAATATACCTTCACGTGAATCCGTAATAATATTACGTAGGAAGGTAGCTACACTTAAATCAGAACTCCAAAGGAAGCGAACACTCAGCACAGCAGTTCATCGCCTCAGATAAGTTAATTGAACGTGTTTCAGACTAATCCATTTGTAAGTTGTGTACGACGAGCGTGCACATCAACCGTTGGCCGCTCCATTCCCTTAATTAAAACGTTCCTACGCCAATATAGAGGAGCGTGCCCTTTATGCCCACGATTCCAGATTATCTCTGGTGACGATCGGTTATGTCGGACGATACCATCCCGTGATAAGCGACGGTCACAAAGTTGATTCGCTGCATTCAATTTGTTGATTCGACTAAATAACGGTTACCTATCAGATTGGGTAGGCCAACTAAAACGTTAGTGTTTGTGCAATAGTTGAGCGAATGTGTTATCTAT